AGGCAGGAGACTCGCTTGAGCCCAGGAGTTGGAGGTTGCTGTGAGCTATGATGCCACAGCACTCTACCCAGGGGGACAGCTTGAGGCTCTGTCTCCATAAAAAAGAAAAAAGAAACATTTTTCAAAGGTTTTAGAAATTGTGGTAAGGATGTACAACAAATGGTAAAACCTAAATCAAGAAAATCTGGGCTCAGCACCTGTAGCTCAGTGACTAGGTCACCAGCCACTTAACACCAGAGCTGGCGGGTTTGAACTCAGCCCAGGCCTGCCAAACAACAATGACAACTGTAACCAAAAAATAGCCAGGCGAGTGTAGTCCCACCTACTCAGGAGGCTGAGGCAAGAGAATTGCTTAAACCCAAGAGTTTGAGGTTGCTGTAAGCTGTGATGCCATGGCACTCTACCAAGGGCAACATAATGAGACTCTGTCTCAAAAAAAGCAGTAACAGGTATAGTCTATGGCATTTGAACTGTGACTTGCTCCCTCTCCTCTCAGACTCCTCTTGCTGAAGCCACTCCAGGTGCTCTGTTCTGGGTGGGTTTAGTTAAAAAGGTGAACGCTTCCCAGTTCTTCCATAGCACCCAGTTCTAGAGCTATGGCTTTGCTCCCAGAGATCAGGTACTGCCATGTCTCACCTCCCACATACCTGGCTTACGAGAGCTCTTTTCCTGGTGGGCACAGTCAGGCAGGTTGAGGCCCCCCTTCTCCTGACCTAACTCCTGGGGGAGCAGCTCTGTTCCAGATATATGTGGCAGGCTGATGGTGCTTTGTGCCCCAGTGTACGTACCTCAGTGCGTGCTCCAAGCACGGGGTGTCCCTGAGCCCACAGCGTGATACAGAATACCATTTTGTTAGGGGAGGGGCAGGTCACATAGAAGCTCCACTTACCTTACTTAACAGAGGGTGAATTCCAAGCCTGAGTACATCATCAAAAACAGTAGAGATATCATGGTGGAGACCAATTAAGTAAGAGGGCTCTAATAGCTCCCGTGATACTCGTAACAGCAAGCAAAAGAGCAGAGCAACAAGTTTAACAGGTAACACCAGGGAAAGAAATAGTCAAGAAAAGCCCTCCTGGGATCACAGTCAGCACTGGGAGCTGAAGGCTGTGCACAGATGCTCGATGTGCCCACTCTGGAGCAGTCGGAGGATGTGACCTTCTCCTCATAACACCCCCAAGCCACACCTCGATTGTATTGAGTTGGATATTGTCCTTCCAAAAATTCATGTCCACTCAGAACATGTTTCTGGAAATAGCTTCTTTGCAGATGTAATTATTTAAGATGAAGTAATACCTGATTAGAGTGGGCCCTAGTCCAGTCTGGCTGGTGTTTTTATAAGAGGAAAAGAAACACATAGCCACATGGGGATAATGCCACGTGAAGATAGAGCCAAGTTCTGCATCTACAAGATAAAGATTGCCAAAGCCACCAAGAGCTAGAAAGGCACAGAATTGTTATATAGAGCCTTCGGAGGGAGCATGGCCTTGCCAACACTTTGATTTCAGATTTCTAGCCTCTAGAACTCTGAGAAAATAAATTCCTATTGAATAAATTTCTGTCCAATTTGTGGTAATTTGTTATAGCAGCTCTAGGAAACTAATAATGAGTAAGTTCTTCAAGAAAGAATATAACAAAAAAATAGCCGGGCGTTGTGGTGGGCACTTGTAGTCTGAGCTACTCGGGAGGCTGAGGCAAGAGAATTGCCTGAGCCCAAGAGTTGGAGGTTGCTGTGAGCTGTGACGTCACAGCACTCTACCGAAGGCTATAAAGTAAGATTTGTCTCTTAAAAAAAAAAAAAAAGTCTTACAGGGGTGGCACCTGTGACTCAAAGGATAGGGCACCGGCTCCATATGCCGGACCATATGCCGGAGGTGGCGGGTTCAAACTCAGCCCCAGCCAAAAATGCAAAAAAAAAAAAAAAGAATATAACCGTCACTGGTCCTGGGGACACAACCTCTAATCAAACATTGGCTAACACACCCCTATTATGAAACAAATTTATACCTTTTATATGAAAGCTATAACCAAATAGCCTAAGAATATGGGGAGGTGGGAGGGGAGAATGGGTGGAGGGAGGGGGATTGGAGGGATCACTTCTGAGGTTTATTTTACAGGGGTACAAGTGAATCTTTCTAAGAGTAGAATGTGAACGTTTTAAAACAATAACTGAGAAAATGACATGAAGGCTGTGTTGACCAGTTTGATGGAAATATTTCAGATTGCATGTGAAAACCCCACACTGTACCCCAGAAGTACATTAATGTACATAGTTACCATTCAATAAAAAAAAAAAAAAAAAAACATTGGCTAAGCAGTAACTTGGACCCATGAACAGCTCTTAGGAAGCCAGGCTTAATTAAGAGTAAAAATCACAGGCTCGGCACCTGTGGCTCAAATGGCTAAGTCTCTAGCCACATACACCTAAGGTGGAGGGTTCAAATCCAGCCCGAGTCTGCCAAACAACAATGACAGCTGCAACCAAAAAATAATTGGGTGTTGTGGCAGGCACCCTGTGGTCCCAGCTGCTTGGAAGGCTGAGGCAGGAGACTTGCTTGAGCTTAGGAGTTGGAGGTTGCTGCGAGCTGTGATGCGAGAGCACTCTATCCAGGGGGACAGCTTGAGGCTCTATCTCAAAAAGAAAAAGAATAAAATCACACTCATCTCTGACAACATGGAAGACTGAATGCCCCTTACACCATCTCAGGACTGATGAGAGAAGGAAACTCTAAGCCAAGCCAAAGTGTGAACTCCTTCAAATTTGAGAGTGGAAACAAATGAAATAGGAGGAAAAACAATACAGGAAAATGAGTGAAAACAAAAGTTGGTTCTTTAAAAAGATCAACAAAATTAAAAAGCACTATCTAGACTGGTTGGAAAGAAAAAAAATTGTAAAGACTCAACATTACCAAAATCACTGCAGACCTAAATAACTATGTAGCTGCAATTTAGATAATTAGCATAATGGACCAATTCCTAAAAAGATAAAAACTATTGAAACTGTCTCAAAAATAGAAAATCTAAACAGGCTCGGCACCTGTGGCTCAAGTGGCTAAGGCGCCAGCCACATACACCTAAGGTGGCGGGTTCGAATTCAGCCTGGGCCCGCCAAACAACAATGAAGGCTGCAACCAAAAAAAAATAGCCAGGCGTTGTGGTGGGCACCTGTGGTCCCAGCTACTTGGGAGGCAGAGGCAGGAGAGTTGTGATGCCACAGCACTCTACCTAGGGGGACAGCTTGAGGCTCTGTCTCAAAAAAAAGAAAAGAAAAGAAAAGAAAATCTAAACAGACCATTAGCAAGTGAGGAAATTGATTTTTTTTTTTAAATCTCTAAGATTAAGTCTTATTCTGTCATGTCATCATAGTTCACAGCAACCTCAGTCTTTTGAGCTCAAGCAATCCTCTTGCCTCAGCCTCCCTGAGAGGGTTTTAATGTGAGGAATGAAGAGTCTTGACAGTCTGTGCCAGGGGACTGAGGAACTTGTGGGAGGAGCCCTCCCAAGCAAACCTTGGGTCTGTATGATTATCTTAAAATAGAAAAACTTAGGGCTGCTCCTGTGGCCCAAAAGGGTAGGGCGCTGACCCCATATGCCAGCAAAAAAAAAAATTAGGAAGATGTAAACAAAAGCTGTTTGTCTGACATTAGCACTGATTAGGGAGGACGTGGAGAAAGTTAGATAGAATGTCTCCACCTTTGTTTTTTTTTTTTGTTTTGTTTTGTTTTGTTTTTGAGACAGAGCCTCAAGCTATAGCCCTGGGTAGAATGCTGTGGCATCACGGCTCACAGCAACCTCCAACTCCTGGGCTCAAGCGAGTCTCCTGCCTCAGCCTCCCAAGTAGCTGGGACTACAGGCACCCGCCACAACGCCCGGCTATTTTTTGGTTGCAGCCATCATTGTTGTTTGGCGGGCCTGGACTGGGGATTCGAACCCGCCACCTTAGATGTATGTGGCTGGCGCCTTAGCCACTTGAACCACAGGCGCTGAGCCTCCACCTTTGTTTTTACAAAACCACAGACTTCAAGCACGACCTCTGCCTCCAACATCAAGAGACTTTTGGATTCTGGAGAATCTTTACCATAACTGTTAGGCTTGGTATTGCCACAGGTCACATACACATACTTCCCTAAAGGCCAGTTTTCTGATCTGCACATACACAACTCATGTGCCATTCTCGTGATTCTCTGTCTCTCAAATAGGAAGTGAGTCTTATGCTAAAGATCAGGGTTCAGTTTCCCTATACCTCCCAAGTAGCAGGAACTATAGGCGCCCACCACAAAACCCAGCTAATTTTTTCTATTTTTAGTAGAGACAGGGTCTCACTCTTGCTCAGGCTGGTCTCAAACTCCTGCCTTGGCCTCCCAGAATGCTAGGATTAAAGGCGTGAGCCACCAAGCCTGGCCTCGATTGATAATTTTAAAACTTCCCACAAAAGGCTCAGTGGGCTTCACACCTTCACAAACACAGAGAACAGAAGAGGAAGAATCACTTCCCACCTTATTTTGGGAGATCTGGATCATCATCCTGATACCAAAACTAGGTAATAACAGGAACAAAATCTTCAACACAAAAAGAAAAAAAATCAACAAAATAGGTACTAGCAAATGAATCCAACATATAAAAAGGATCATTTACCATGACCAAGGAAGATTTATTCCAGTAATGCAAACTTGGTTCAAAACATAAAAAATAAATATAATTAACCATATTAATACTAAATATTAATTTTTATAATAGGCAGAAAAAGCATTTGCCAAAACCGCAGCAACTTTATAGAATAAAACATTTCAACAAATTAGTCACAGAGGGAATTTCTTCAGCATGATAAAGGATATTCACAAAAAGCCCCTAGCTAATATCATACTTCAGAGTGAAAGTCTGAATGCTTTTAGGCTGCGCCTGTGGCTTACTGGGTAGGGCACTGGCCCCATATACCAAAGGTGGCAGGTTCAAACCCGGTCAAACTGCAACAAAAAATAGCCAGGTGTTTGTGTCAGGCGCCTGTAGTCCCAGCTAAAGTCTGAATGCTTTCCCACTAAAATCAGGAACATGAGAAGCATGCTCCTTTTCCCACTTCTGTTTAACTACTAATAGTTTCAGAAATATTTTGTCCCAGTCACCAAACCAGACATTTTGTCTGTTCTAATTTTCCCCAGAGCTGTGCGGAGTAGTGGTGTGGGTGGGAGCATCTGCAATGACTTGCCGGGCTCATTCCAGCCAATAGTGCTGCAGTGCTGGTGGGGAAGCAGGACTGCCGCTCATATTACAGTGTCTTGTCCTTTCTTCTTTCCTTTCTTACAAAGTCATACCCTTTAACTCTTTGGTTCCTTTTTGACATTTATAGCCTTCAGTTTGACCCAGCACCTCGTCGTGGAGAGCCTCACGTTACACGGCGCACCCCAGACTATTTCCTGTAAACTCCTCCTGAGGAAACCTGCCTTTGTCTGTGGAAGTATACCTGGCTTTTTAAAATATATATATATTTAAAAACAAAAAAAAGCAACAGTAATCTATGTGTTTCTGTAACAAACTGGGATCTGTCTTGGCATTAAACCACATCATGGACCAAAATGTGCCACACTAATGATGAGCATTTAGCACCGTCTGAGGCTGAAATCGACACACTCGGTTCTAGATGGGTCAGTCTAACAGTCTGCCTGCTGTATTCGTAGTAACCATTTTCCTCTGGACTATTCAAGCAAAAAAGGTAACTAACTGCTTCATCTCCTTATCCACTTACATGGAAATTTTAGTTATAGTGTTTAACTAGCATGGATTAATAGAGTTGGAGTTTTATTTTTAAGAAAATTTCACAAGCTAACTTCCACTAACCTATTACTCTTTATTTTATTGAAATGTATAATTAACTTAACTGAAGAAAAGATTCCTTTGGGGAGTATGTTGTCATAACATTCAAAGAGATTTCCCTTCATCTAAACTAGGTTACTGTTTTATGTTCCACATATTTCTGTATATTTGTCATGACAGTGCTTGCATCCTATTTGGTGTACTGAGCAAATAAACTTTACATTTTAAACAAAAACTTCACTGTGTTGAAACTTGATATAAAATTGCTTGACATAATTAGTTATGTTGAAGAAATTTAAATAATCGTGATATACGTATAGGACTTATTTTCAGAAGAAAAATATCCTATAAGAAAAAAATGAGATGGTAGAAATAAGTACAAATATCTCAAAATCTGCCAGGATTGGTGACTTATGCTTGTAATCTCAGGAATTAGGCCAAGGCTGGAGGATTGCTTGGTGCTAGGAGTTCAAGGCCGGTCTGGACAACATATCAAGACACCATCTCTACAAAAAAGATTTTTTTAATTGGCTGGACATGATGGTACTCCAGATCTGGGGAGGCTGAGGCAGGAAGACACCTGAAGCCCAGAAGTTTAAGGCTGTAATGGGCTATGATAATATCACCATATCACCATACTCGAGCCTCAGCAACAGATCCTTATCTCTTTAAAAAAAAAATAGTCAACATTGCAATTAATGTAAGTAGATACTCTAGTTAAAATACAAAGAGATTTCTTTTTCTTTTTTATGTAGAGACAGAGTCTCACTTTATCACCCTTGGTAGAGTCCCTGGCGTCACACAGCTCACAGCAACCTCCAACTCCTAGGCTTAGGCAATTCTCTTGCCTCAACCTCCTGAGTAGCTGTGATTACAGGCGCCTGCCTCAATGCCCAGCTATTTTTTTGTTGCGGTTTGGCTGGGGCCAGGTTTGAACTCTGCCACCCTTGGTATATGGGGCTGGCGCCCTACTCAGCCACAGGCGCCACCCAAAAGTGAAATTTTTTTAAAAATTTAGTTATCTGGCTCAGTGCCTGTGGCTCAAGTGGCTAAGGCGCCAGCCACATACACCTAAGGTGGCGGGTTCAAATCCAGCCCGGGCCCGCCAAACAACAA